TATGTAGGTGAGAGACTGTACTACAGTAGTTATTATATAGAATTCTATGATTTTAAGTGAAGCTGTAATTCACAAGCTATTGTACCTATAACCTGGAATGTATGTACATACATACGTATGTGTGTGAAGTGAAATCTTGCAACTAATTGAAAAGTTATCTTCAATCGATTCATCAGGGCCGATTTTTCAATGCCCAGTTTAATTTTATCACAGAAATAATCTATATATATAAAAGAAAGTCGTGTTAGTTACACTATTTATAACTCAAGAACGCCTCAATCGATTTAGATGAAAATTGGCAGGGAGCTAGCTTAGAACCAGGAGACGGACATAGGATACTTTTTATACATATTTTTTGTACTTTTTACCGAAAATCACGAACGGGAACGGGAGGAAAATGGGATTGCGCGTACGAAGTCGCGGGCAGAAGCTAGTTTTGAATATTTCACAATTCTTCCAGACTAATGTCATATGCCAATTTTATTATACGGTTAAGAATAAACTGATGATTGAAAATTCGGTCCTAAGATAAATGTATTGTAACCATTGGACGGTTCTGTAGGCTACTGTTTCTGTACTGATTCAATATTTGTTAATTTGCCTGCATACTAAATTACTTGGCTGACTATACTCTGTGTTCAGATGTCGTGGGAATAATGCATAGAGTTCATAATCCCATTTCTTTAACAGTTTGACTGCCGACAGAAAACTGTTGAAGGTAAATCCTCCGCTATCGTGGCCCATACCTTGTCCCCCAATGGCGTTCAAGGTGTTAATTATGGAAAATTACTTTTTATAGTATTTGTCTGTATTGTTTGTGAATCATTTTAAATAAATAATGATAACAATTAATTTAAACAAGCTGATAAAAATAAAATAAAAAAGTAAAAAATATGATAAGGTTTTTTCAAAGTCCATTACATAATTCATACTTTTGAAGAGATTGGCAGACTCGTAACTATCAATATACTGTTACGTCTAAGTAGTATATGTAATATAATTGTGTAAGTTTATTGTTATGTTATATACATGTAAGTTTATATAGGGATTTATTTTATGTAAGTCTATTCTATCCTTTTTATGTATTTCTGTTTAGTTCTAAATACGCTTGCTTCTTGCATTGACCATTGTTTTTGTCTCAGCATCACCCAAAGGTCTGCCTGGAGGAGAGTGCCCTAGGCATTAAGCCCACCTTGTACATAAGTGTGTGCATGAAGTCTTTTAAAATAAAAAAATAAAAATAAAATAAGATACCACATGATTCTAAAATAGGGCCTAACTCCAAACAAATGACATTGTAACTTACGAAAATTTCCAAATTTTCATTCACATTATTGCCATTAAAGCTAAAAACATCGACATATTAAAACGAACCAAAAACGAAGGCAACATGCCGTGTAATCACTTACCTACCGTGAACCTCGCTAACGTACGAGCTGTCACTTAGAACGAGTCGCGAAAACATTCCCCGCTACTTAAACAGTTTCGCCGCGGTTTCTTAACATATTTGCATGAGTCTTTAACGTTAACTTTCACGTTAACTCTACGTATGAAGTGTTTTAAAACATTACTTGTGGTGACGCAATTATGGAGTACTAACTTTAAAGTAGGTGTATGCAGGGAATTATGTACTAAGTGGTGAGTTCGAATTAAACTTTTATGTATGAAAATTAATTTTGTTTTAACCTGTCTGCGGTATGAAATGTGTTTGCTGGCTGGATGAATTATGGGTTCAGCTTTCAATTACGGAGTATGTGTTTTTATAATATGTATGTAGGTATATTAACTCTTTGAGTACCGTCATTATAGACACAATTAAAGAACAATAGGTTGCGGTCACCGGTGTCCTCGCGGTGTTTGACAGTTTAAAATGAGTTTAAAATTTGATTTTGTGTTAGTACGATTTTATTACAAAGTATATGTTGCTGTGATGTTAAAATTAAAAAAAAAATTACGTAAACTAAATGATTAAAGCTAGATAAGAAAACGAGCAGTTGATTGTTGATAATTTTGCGTATGTATATGTATATGGATCTATGACGTCATCGTTACATTTTTATGACATCCAGAATTTGTCCAATCCTTGACAATGTCCACGAATAAGCAATCTTCTTTTTTAAGTGTTAAATAAGTGTCTAAATCTTATACTTATTATATAAAGCGGAAGAGTTTGTTTTTTGTTTGAACGCGTTAATCTCCGTAACTACAAGTCTGATTTGTGTTGGATAGCGCATTTATTGAGGATGCCTATAGGCTATAAAACATTACGCTACAACCAATAGGAGCTGAGCAGAGCGTGTGAAACCGCGCGGAAGTAGCTAGTAAAAATATAATATCCAAAAAATACTCTCGAGACATCGTTCCGTCAAACTAATTAAAAATGTCATGAAAATTTCAAAGCTAAATCAAAATATCACTTCATAAACGAGCACACGCCATTATACGAAACAAAAGAAGTAATTAAACGTGCGCCCTTAAGCATTGTACACACTGAACAATATTTGTTATTATTTTACTCAAGCACACTCAATGTACCGTGTAAAGGACGGTAAAGGACGGTAAACAATCCACGTTTGGTAACAGACGGTAATTACCGCACCCCCAGTGTGCACACCCCTTAATGACAGAACCATCCAATTTTAATCGACCCCTCTTGTTATACTAAACTGTAAGTAATTGTGTGAACATTGAAAGGTCATTGTATAGTGGTCGACATGCAGCGACATGTGTTTTACGCTACAATACCGTTAGTGTGAATTGGCTCATGAATTGACATTGGTTGTGTGTTTAAAAGTATTTAGTGAAATTAGTGATTGATGGGTTATTAGTGATGTGATTTTATATGGTTTGAACTTGGCTTAATATGCTCCTGTGTAACTAAATTGGGGCTAAGAAGGTCTGTAGATACGCTGTTTTCATACTTAATTGTTTTTTATTGTCGTCAAAGAAATCATCCCGTTCTCAGTGAAAACGTATAATATGGATTAGAGTATACACGATACGTCGACATTTAACTTTTAACATGACTTCGGAAAACTGAGTAAAAGTATGTACTCAATTGAAGCTATTCCGTTGCATAGGAAATAAACGACATACACAATCATAAAAAAATAGACTGTTTCTGAGTCTGTCAGTCTCATTGCAGATTAAATGAAAATAATAAAAAAACTAGAATTAAATTTTTTAAACCAAATATTACATCATTGTTCCGCTAACTTACGTCCGACAAAGACTCAAAGTACCAAAAAAAAAAAATTAAAAAAAAAATACAAATTACCACAAAACCTACTTTGTACTTCATAACAACGCACACAGGGGTTTGTAACAAGGGTGTTTCGACATGTTCAAATATTAATTCTACCCTTCAAGAGATAAAAACTATTAGGCGGGTCTCGGATTATGGCCAGATTATTATTTTAACGAAATTAGCTTACTGCTGCTAAGGGACTGTGGTACTTTTGTGGACCAAAGATTATGTGGAGTAGATTGGACATTTTATTTTTGATTTTTAGCATACTTGCAAAGTATTTAGCATTCATTCTTGGGTTCTTGCTTCCCTGTTTGGAAAAAGGGTTAAAAACTGTTTTGTTTCTTGATTTGTTCAATTAAACTAGTCTATGGCGCGGAACATACATTGAGAAAGAGAGAAAGAGATGTACAGAGACGTTTTCATCTGTTTGTTTTTGTTTTTCATAAAATCTGCACTAATAAGCAATTGTACCATCCATAATCCTTGCCTATAAATTCAAATACAAAAAAAAAATACTATAAACTTGTATTTCGACAGCGATTGCCTAATAAAATAAACTTTATATTTCCAAAATCCACTTTCCTGCCTACTGTCACCACTGCGTTCCCCATCTTCCCCTAGATTTCGTAGCACTCTCCCAACAAGGCTTATTAAAAGTAAATTGCGAAAATTGCAGTGCAAATGTGGCCCTGATGTATTTTGCTAACCGGCTTACAAGTACAAGCCTAACAAAATCTCCCGTAGCCTACTTATTGTTCAGTAGCAAAGATCAAGTTAAATTGGTTTTTTGTTTAGCGACTACCAGTATAACTAGAGCTTTCGTAGCAAAGCGAATGTATTGGTGGGGGGTTCTTGTTGTTTGGTTTAGTGTGCCCTTATGGTGAGATGATCTTGTAAGCTTGGAGTTGTAACGAGTGCAGAATGGGGTGATAATGATGTGCTGGCTGGTCCCAGTGTTGACAGCTCGCCTATTGAGGATTACCACGATGCCCCATAAATTCTATTTACCCCATATTTATGATAGAAATAAAATTTTATTATGTTTATAAATGGTGGTTTTGGTAAGACTCTTACTTGTAAATTGTAATGTGAGTTGATAATGGATTATTTTGGCGTAAAATATATTATTTATAACTTAAGAATATGAAGCATAAAACTTATGCATTATACTGATTAATAAATCTGTTTGTAACTTTAGTATATTTTAAAACATTGTGACATTAGACCTTACATTACCATAACCATTTGCCAAAGGAATTGCTACATATGTATACAATTCTTTTTTAAAGTAGTATAAAAAGGTTCCTACTTTTAAAGGCATATTCTAGTGTTACTGAAGACAACATTTAATTATTTTTTGGTTAGATTTATTTGAGATTCTAATCTTTAATAATTTTTATAATATTTTATTTGACAATTGACATTCTGTTTATTTAATATTGTGACATTCAAATTTATAATCCTATGTGACATAATAATTAATCATTCTAATGAAATGACATTAAGTAAATAATAATCAATCCAAATCATTGTTTCCAACTATGTTATAACTTTGTATGCTGACAAAAGCTAATATAGAGTTTTAAAAAAATATTTCGGACCCTCATGTATTTATTGGTCAGTGTAGTTTTTTTACACAAATAAGACTACTATGAACATTGAACTGGGTTCACTCCTAGATCAGCTAAAATGTTTGATATGTCCCTTACCGTTAAAAGTTAACTAAACGTGATTGTGGTTTTGTTCTTAGGTGTGGTTTCAAAATCGGCGAGCGAAGTGGAGGAAAGCAGAGCGGCTGAAAGAGGAGCAGAGGAAACGAGAGGGCGATGTGCTGACTAAGAGGGACCCGGCTGATGATAAGGTATGAAAACGGGGATCAGGGGACCCTGGGTTATCTGATCTGTGGGGACTTTTGTTTTGTGTGTTTGTCTGTAGTTTCAAATTGTTTGTCATCGACTTGAAGTCATTTTGAAAAAGTGTACTATAAATTAAGACTATTCTCAATAGATTGAGCGATGTTGAAATAATATGAATGTGTGTGTAGTTTGTATCTCAAAATTTATTTTAAACTAGCTTATGCCCGGGACTTCGTATGTGTAATCCCGTTTTCTCCCGTTCCGACTTCTGTCATAAGAACCTTCTCCTGACAATAACAAACATCATCATTTCATCAAAATCGGTCCAGTCGTTTGAGAGAAGTTCAGTGACACACACTCACAGAAGAATTATATAATAATATATAAAAAGATAGATTTGGTTGGATACTCTAAGAAATTCAATCGAGATTTGATATACTTATGTAGACTTGTTACTTTTGTAATTTATTGCTCAACTTCTTTTTATAATATTTTGTACAATTGCTTGCTAATTAAAAATGATGTTATCAAATCTTTCTAAACGCAGGGTTCGTCAGAATGCGGTATGTCTCGCGGCTCAGCGGAGGCGTCGCCAGTGTCTGGCGCGGCTGGGTCACCCCGCGCTTCGCCCCCTGTGACTCCTGGCTCTCCCAGGCGCTCCCCTTTGAGATCACCCAACCGCTCGCCTAACAGGTCGCCTAGGCATGAGAGGTATGTTCCTCTTCAATAGTCACGGGCAAGTGCTGAAAAATCAGCGGCGCGACTCGAGCGCACTCGGGTCACGGCATTTAAGCTGAGCTCTGGCCTTTTTGCGCCGTCTTCACTGTATTATTATTATTATTTTTGTGTGTTATTGTACCTTGTGACGATGTGCAAATAAACGATTTTTCTTTCTTTTATTCTTCTTTCAATACAAACTTATTATATAGAGGTATAGTTTAATGGTCAAATTGTTTGGAAGATATCTTTGAATAACTCTCTTAGAGCCGATTTTTCAATCATCAGTTAATTTTAAACTGTAGGATAAAATTGACATTACAGTTTTTAATATGGAAGGATTGACAAATGTTCAAATTTGTTCCTGTGTTAAAATATATCTGGCGTTGTTAAAATCGGCGCTTTAACAATTAGATAGTGGTAACTAAAACAGTTTTAAAAGTGTGTGAGTTTCCTTGAAAATGATGTTTCCAAAGTCTCTGACACACATTTCGAGTAACTGTGATCTATATTCTACAACAAAATATTTTAAAGGACATTTAACTAACGCAGATAAATAACAATAGGGTAGATGCCTAATTTTTATTTTAATGTTCGTCTGGTAGATTATTTCAAATCATTAGACATGTATTTTTTATTTCCATACAGAAACGAATACTTTCGACGACATATTGATTTGAAATGTCGAGTGGCGTCACTTCTATGTACAATTTATATGTAGAAATGACGTTTTAGCCCCCACTCCTAAACTTTGATTCGTTTTATATAAGTATTATTTCATTAAACAACAAAATAAAAAATACGTGTCTAATATTTTTTCATTACCCAACTAACGGACTAATTACATTTTAAATTTTCATACCCTGTCATCATCCCAATTGTGTATCAGTCGTACTGTAAAAACATGAAATTCTCTACCACCAGGTCGGAAACCAGCTGTCCATCACCAGCTCCATCAGTAGGCAGCGCCAGCTCCAGAGACGGTGCCATGGACCAGCGCCCGCCACACCATATCTTCTCACCTTTCGACCAGTAAGTACAACATTATTTTGGGAAATACCTATAACTCTTACGTCTATATCTAGTTTAATTTAATTGATAAATATCATTTTCTTGGAGGTAAAAAATCATTGTGTTCGCATCAAGTTGGTTTTAGTTCATTTAACTCGGTTTTATACAATTGAAATTAATAAAATAACCAAATACCTAATCTTAACCTTCTAAGTATGTCGCGGAGAACCTAACGGGTAACCGGGGCTCCGGCTCGACGTGCAGGAGAAGGAACGGGGTGGTTTTTAGTCAGTAAGAGTCTGACACTCCTTTCCGCCTCACCCAGGCGGGAGCAGCCATTCGATGATTTTCTCCCTTAAAAAAGTATACATACTATAATGTATTAAACAATCTTGCGCCGTATCATATAAAAAAAGTCATCACATTTACCTCTAGAAATACGAGAATACTCCATAAAAGAGGTTTTCATAATTAATGGCATCATAACATGGTTGCATTTTTCTTGTAATTAGAAGACTGGGCGACCGCTAACCATTTTAATCAACTAATCTACGTAATACTTTATTTAAATACACAAACGTTACAAGTGTTGACAACACAGTGTGCCAGTGTGTGTCATCTGCCACAGATAAATTAGAAAACAGAAGATGTAGTTTTCAATTTTTTTTTGTGAAAACTGCTCAACATTTTGAAAATAAATTGCGAAAAATTACATTTTCCAGATAGTAAGATTTTATCTCAGTTCAAAAATGCTTTAAGAATTTAAATTTTTTTAAGTGTAACTGTTTTTATTCTTGGACCGTACTATTCTGGTTGAATTCCTTAAACATCAAAATTTTGTTTTGTTAATCTGTGACCAAAAAATTTAAATTCAGACACAAAGTCAAAGTCAAAGCATTTATTTCAATTAAACCATAATTTGGTACTTTTGAAACGTCACAAATACAAAATAAATAATAGTCTGTCAATCAGTCCGTCAGTGAAGCTAGGTGACGCTAGGTGCTCATTCCAAAATGTAGATTCGAATGGAGAAGAACGAGCAAGAAACTCCATAGGTAGAAACTTAATATAGTATTAGTATTTGTATAAAACAGACCTTCTGCTATCCTCACCACATCTTCGGTGGTCTTATGAAGAGTTGAGTTTATGAAGGCAATTACTCGATTAAGAGCGCGCTGCCCGCCTCGCTCTAATCAACAGTAATTATATTGCGCAGCCATATTGTGGCGCATTAACATCTAACAGATACGTTCGGAGTTATGGATGTAAGTTAACTGGGTAGTTGGAGCTTATTGAACGAACGTACCTATTACCTTAAATTACGATCTCTAGCCCACGTACCAAGCGTGGAGATAAGGGGGAAAGGGGGATTTTTTTAAGGGGGGAAAATCATCGAATTTCTGCTCCCGCCTGGGTGAGGTGGGAGGGAGTGTCAGATTCTTATTGACTAAAAACCACCCCGTTCCTTCTCCTGCACATCGAGCCGGAACCCCGGTTACCTGTTAGGTTCTCCGCGACCCCGAATCGGGAAAAGAGGATAGGGGCTCCTCTTTTGATGAGAAAACCCGGCAGTCTAGTCGCCCAGGAGTGAACAGTGGACGTTTGAAGTTAATGCTGGTCAACTGGATAGTTGACGCGCACTGACTGATGAGAAGGTTGTGGAAGGAGATAGAACTCTACCTACTTGGAAGATTTTATAGTTTTATGTTGGTTATCTAGGGGTCATCAGGTATCAACATCTTTATATAGATATTAACTTTTTATAATTAATTCGTTGTCCACTAGAAAAACCACAAGTGCCTAAATTCATACGTTAAGCAAACAAAGTTTTAAAAGTCTGTCGGTATGTTCTTGAGCTCATTACGCAAAAATTGCTGCACCTATCCGGATAAAATTTGGAACCAATTATTTGTTTACAAAGAACTTATCCTTTGCTACAACGTACCTTTTATTTATTTATTTAAGCTTCATGCACAATGTGTACATAAGGTGGACTTAATGCCGCAGGCATTTTCTCCCAGTCTGACCTTTGGGTGATGCAGAGAAGTCGATGGTATGAGCAAAAAGCAAGCAACGATTGATTGATTGAACAATTGATTTTATGATTGTTTATAAAATATTTTCAAAAAATAGTTATTTACATTTTAAGTTGTATATATTTTCATTTAGTAATACTTAATATTAATTTTATTAATGTCGAGAAACATTATTTGTCAACATATTGTTTATAACAAAATATAGTGGGGTCATGGGCGTAGCCACACTGGGGCAAGCTGGGGCACTTGCCCCACCCTGAGCCCTGGCTCTGACCCATAAGGTGTCTGAGTAAACAATGTTTTTTTTACTAACTCTAACTATCAACATCAACAATCATTCTATCCGTAAGTTATTGCACAAAAAAAATTGTCGACTTTGAAAAGAGCGCGATCAAAACAAAATGCACGCTCGAGTTCCCGAACGTGCGTCAAAGCGTCCTAAAAGAATAGGTACTATGTGGCGTTTTTTTTAAGGGGGGAAAATCATCGAATGACTGCTCCTGCCTGGGTGAGGCGGGAGGGAGTGTCAGACTCTTCAGACTCTTACTGACTAAAAATCACCCCGTTCCTTCTCCTGCATGTCGAGCCGGAGCCCCGGTTACTCGTTAGGTTCTCCGCGACTCCGAATCGGCATCGGCCTTGTTGGGCCCCATCTGTGGTGGTCTGATGGCTCTTTGAGGCGTGCGCGGAACGCGACGCGCTTTACGTTACGCTCGGGTCTATTTCTGGTCGGACGGGGAGCCACCCATGCTCGCCGCCCGCAGGCCCGCGCTTACGGTGGCCGGAGATCGTCCCGCGATCCCCGACGTCCGGTGTGTCCTGCGCGATGGCTGGTTTGCAAGGAGGCAGCGCTTCGCTGCCTCACGCGTCCCGCCTTGTGGCGTAGTGAGCTGAGCCGTCCATCACCGTGGGGTCACTCATCCCCGCCCGCGCCCCGCGAAGCGCAGACTAAAATCTTCTATGGCTCGTGGCGCGATTTGTATTGTTTGCTTGTTTTGTCCTCAATTCGACTGAATTTTTTTTTTATGTTTGTTACTCGATTTCCCGAAGACGCCTGGACCGATTTCAAAAATTCTTTTTTTGTTTGAAAGGGTAGGTTTGTCATTTGGTCCCATTGTCATGAAGTCAGGATCTGATGATTGAATCCCAGGGAAACCGAAGAGATCTTTTAAAAATTATAGGGGCGACTAGTGCATTTGTTAATTTTTTCGTTGAGTATTTAAAACCACTACAATCTGATAAAGGTCTGGAGCTGATCTGATGATGGAGCCGATAGGCAGTCGAGGGAACTCCTCAACGGTTAACAGTAGCTACATTGTGTTTGGGTTTCATTAATTTGTATAGTATGTGATTGCCAATAAAGGTCTGAAGATGAAATAGTATCATAGTTGAGGGAACTCCTCAGCGGTTACCAGTACCTATCTTGTGTTTTGTTTTAATTTTTGTAAATTAAGTGATACTTTCCAAAGCGAGGCTGAGATGTGGTATAATTTGTGGGAATAAAATAATACGGACATTAATGATTTGAAGGAGATGGAACTGGTAGATGTGATCAAAATTTCGGAAATGCAATTTTATCCTAGTGTAAAAACCGCGCTCGCTATTTTTCTTGCCCAGCCCTGTACGACCTGTACAATAGACCGATCGTTTAGCACATTACGGCGGGTCAAAACGTGGCTTCAACCATGAGCGAAAATTGTTTACGCGGCCTGTGTATGCTAAGGGTGCACAGAACAAGGGTATCAGAACCGAAAATTAAATTTTTAGAAGAAGTGCTTAACAGGTTCTGCCAGAACACACGCCGTCTTCTCTTGAAGTAATTTTACTCATATATACTTAGTTAAAACTTTAATTTTAAACACCGAGTATTCATAAATAAAACTATAAAATCTGTCTTGTGTGTGATTGTTTATTTTCTGTACCTGAAAATATAAACCTCTCAAATTAAGAGATTAACAAGTCTGAGATTAACGGCTCAAGGTACAAAAAATCGGAGGGCCATCGCCCTCCCCCGGGGGATAGGTTGACTGCTGCCCCACCCTGAGCCCAAAGCTGGCTACGCCCATGAGTGGGGTCAGTAAATTCATTTTTAAATCTGGATATAGGTATTTTAATTACGTTAAATTATTCATGAACAATTACATACTTCGTAATAAACTTACAGAGGTTAGCTTGAGCAGAGAGTGTTACAATAATAATTGTTTGGCAATGAGAATAATAAAAATAAGTCGGGTTTTCCTTCCTGACGCTATAACTCCAGAACGCACGAACCGATTTCCACGGGTTTGCATTCGTTGGAAAGGTCTCGGGCTCCGTGAGATTTATAGTAAACAATGTTACATAAAACGAAGCCATCTGGTGGCCAAACGGAGTTTGCCGGGTTTGCTAGTGAGAATAATAAATCTTGATCAACATTTTCAAAAACATGCCCCAATAGATCGGTATCACAAGTAGGGGATCGATGTCTGATTGACATTGATTCAGCGGCGACTAATTTAAATTAATTTGTAGTAACAAGCCGGTATGTAGGCCATAATGGCAGGCAATCATATCGTGATTTCATATACGTGTCGATCGTAAGGTCGATTGAATTTACTGTAAGTACATAGGTCTACATCTTTATATATATAATTCTTCTGTGAGTCTGTAAGTATGTCACTGAACTTCTCTCAAACGACAGGATCGATTTTGATGAAATTTTGTGTGTGTGTTCAAGGGGATCTGGGAATGGTTTAGATTCACAAATCAGCCCGGCAGATGGCGCTGCAGTCGATGTTTAGGTTATTTATCCTAAACAGCTGAACTTATTTGAATGAATTTTTGTTTATACATGTGTGGATATGCAGGACAACGTCTGTTGGGTCCGCTAGTCTAATATATAAAATTTTCGTGTCACAGTTTTCGTTGCCATACTCTTCCGAAACGGCTTGACCGATTTTGATGAAATTTTTTTTGCTTATCCGGTATCTATGAGAATAGGCCAAT